TGATCAAGTACAGTATATGAGCTGAGTAAAGAAAGAAGTAAAGTCATAAGGAGACAATAACGAAAAACAATGTGGTCAAAAAGATTAAAGGTTGCAATGAAGAAAAAAAAAATGGACGTATTGAATTATGATGGTAGTCAGAAAAAGCATGGGTAAAATTAGATTTGGGAAGAAGTAAAGGTCTAAGGATGATCAAGGGAAAAGGTGGTCAGAGTAGACCAGAGGAAAACATTGGCTATAAAGAAGACAAGTAACCAAAAGACCAGGTGCTAGATGTAACAGCTATATAAAATTTAAAGTCACCATGAACTCTGATGAGAATATATTTAGGAGGAAGAAAGTGAAAAGGCTGGTTAGAGGTCTGCAACATGGCAATACTGAAGGAGCTCAGGGTTTTGAGTGAGGAGGACAAATAAATGACTGGGAAACCACTATAAAGATCTTAGAGGATGCCTGCCAGTTTTATCACTGCTACATAAAACAAGGAATTAAAAACAAACAGCAAGTGAGATGGATACAGAAATATCTTTTATAATATATAGGTTTCAATAGTAGCATAAGTAAAGGATTATTAAGAGACTTTTAAGGGATTAAGGGATTTTGCTAAAGAAAAATCATAAGTTCCTGAAGCCACAGTAGAGAGGATATGGGTGTATGCAGAGGGGCAGAAGACTGGGTCAAATCAGAAGAATAAAGAAGTCTATGGCATGTAAGAAACTGAGTGATAATTAAGACTTGGAAGTTTTCCTTTAATTCTTTTTAATCTCTTCTGGTGCTAAAATGAAAGGGTGATCTTATCAGAAATACAAAAAGTCTTAAATTCAATTTTAATCTAAAGTGTATTTTTAGAATTTGATTAGTAACCTATAGGTACATGGTAAAACAAGTTGAAAGTTTTTTCATTAATATTCTTGAACTCAACTCATAATGGTATGTGAATTATTTTAATTGTACAAACACACAGATCCAAGAGTTATAAAAGGGATACCCACAAAAGGGAAATTCAAAGTATGATCATAATGATATTACAAACAAAGAAATGTGGAAGGAGACATTAAGGCCTGAAAGAATCTTATCAAATTTATACAGCCATTTATTGGTCTCTGTATTTAGAAAAAAGCAATAAAAAAGATTAACACTGTTAACACTGTCTACTTCTGATAAATATTTCATCATCAGTCACAAAAAGGTTGGTCAATGAACTGAATTAATATTTATTTAATTCTATAGCATAATGCTTAAACATCAAGAGTTTGAATAGAAAAAAAACCTGTGTTCAGAAAAGGGATGGAAAACTTTACAAATACAAGCTATCAATTTAAGGGGAAAGGGCTGATTAATAAAAGGTTTCAAATAACTGCATCAAATCCATCAATATCTTTGGGGAAAAAAACAAAACAAAACATAATACCTTGTCAGAATAATAGCTACCTGATTGCTAAAGGTAAACAAAAGTAAAACATAAAGCAGGAAAAATACTGACAAAGAACAGTTTTACTTTATTATATATTTAGTATACATATCTGTTCAATTCAGTCAAGACCAGTAGCTTTAATTTAATAAAGTGAGATATCTCCCTTAATCACAAATCAGTTACTTACATATTTCAGGTGAAAGAGAAGGCAAAGCTATGAGCCAAAATAAACTAGTTTGCATTTCATGGAGATAACTTTGTATAAAGTATTTTATATTCATAAGCCTATGCTAATCCATATTCAAAACATATCGATTGATATTTATATTACATATAGCAATCCTTAAGTACAATGTAAGAGAAGTATACTACATGTATATGCTAAATAACTTGCTTTTTAAAAAAGAAGCACAGGGGCAGGGATTTAGCTCAGTGGTTTCGCCGCCTGCTGTGCAAGTGCAAGGACCTGAGTTGGATCCCCGGTACCAAAAAAAGAAAGAAGCACAAAATACTAATAACCCTGCATAGTTGGAGAAACTGAAAGATAACTAGATATAGGTTATCTTAGTAATAATTAATTCATTCAAGAAATATTTACTGAGGACACACACTGTCCTAGATACTGAGGATTCTGCAGTAAACAAAGCGAAATCCTTATTATCATAGAGATTTCATTCTATTTTAGTACTCTATTTTAGGGTTAACCCCTGAAAGGAATCAATCTTGAAACATTTCCTGAAGTACAGAATATACAAATCTAGTTCAAACTTCACAGAACCTTCCTTCCCTGTTTTATATATTCAACCCTGACAGAGTATTTTTTGACTAATTACAATGGATTGTCTGAGTTGTCTTTAAACTTCCGCCATTCCAAAGGTTAAGGCCGGGGACATTCCCAAACTTTATCTGTTCTTAAATACTACTATATGAGAACTAATCACTGAAAAAGAGAAAAATATAGCAGTTCTAGTAAAGGAAGAAAGTCATGGGAAATATACAAGTTATCTCACAAGTTCTCTCTATTCTGCCTAATCCAAATAAAATAGTCCTTATTCTATGCTGCTAAATAGTGGAGAATGGGAACTGTTATCTACTTAGAATTTAAAAAAAATTGGTGCTCCTTACACAGAATAACTTTCATCTTAATTTCTTCTTCAAATGTTTGTAAGACAGAATTAAAAGACATGCCACAGAATTTAATTTCATTAAACTTCATTGCCTCTACCAGTTAATAGGACAGTAACAATGCCTACCTCTAAATATTGTTTTAGAGCTAAATGAGGTAAAGCATAAAAAAGGTCTTAGTGCTTAACCATTATTTGTGATACCAATCATTATCATTATTCCAGGTAGGAACATTCTTAATAACAATGGTTTATATTTATTATCAGCAGAATCTCAAAAAACTTAAGTTTGGAAACACAATAAACAAGCTAAATACGATATCAGAAGGTTTATCCAAAATTCCTAAAAATGAATGAATTTGGGAAAATTTCAGAATGCAAAACCTCATCAACAAGATGGTTAGTATTTTATCTGATACTCTATAAAGATTCAGGAATATCTTGTCTTTAAAAACATATTTCTTGCCTTTTATTTCAAAGGAGAGTTGGATACAGTTTGCGTAGAACTCAAAAGATAAACAATAAACAAACCAGGTAATGGAGTTAAGACCATTTGAAAGACAGTGTTAGCATCTTCTAGCCCCATCCTGGTCAGACCATATTGGAAATCTCTACGATTCTATCAAAAAAATAAACAACAGTATTAAAAAAAAAAAAAAGGTAAAAGTCTGAGGATATGGGTAAAAAATAAAGTGCTTGCCTAGCATGAGAGAATCCCTGAGTTTAATCCCCAGCACCACAAACAAGCATGCACACATGTGTGAACATGTGCGTGAAAACTCCATGTAACATAATAGGAAAACTCTTTTTAACTAAATCTGCAAAGTAAAGATGAACTACAAATAAAAGAATGAACAAGGCCCTGAAATAAAGTAAAAACATCAAGGAATCTTTAATTTAAAAACTCTTCAATCTTCAAAGGATCATCAAGAAAACCAAGAAATCTTCAAATGAAGAGGTCACTAAATATCCAACAACACTCACCCAACCATTGGTAGGAGATCTCTTGGACACTCAGATGCTTCAATCAGCTGAAATAGTACCAAGTTTTTACTGATTACTCTTAACAGGGAAACGGCGCACAGGCTAACTCCATACTATCAAAAATTAAAGGTAATTATTACTGATAATTCTAGTTACTACTATTAAAAAACAACTCAAAGTAACAGGAGACTGAGGGATGAGTTCCAAGGTAAACAAAACTTACTATGTGCATATGTGTAAATGTATTTCTTCCAGTTTACTTAGTGATATAAGTCTGAAAAATATAGTGACAGAATAAAACTTTCCTAACAATGTTCTAAAATCTTAAATTGTGTAAGATGTTTTTAATATTGGTTCAAATCGAAATTTTTGAAAATAATTTGTTTTCTAAAGATAACACAAATTTCCCAACACTAAATACTTTAATAACACATAGGAAAAAGTTTATAGTCTCTTGCACTTAAAAAAAAACTTTAGGCCTTTGAATTATACTAATGATTCTATTAAGGGTACTCATGTATTTCAACACATGAAAGAACTCATATTCCTTAACACTAAAGAAAAGATTCTCAAAGGTGAAGAATATTTTCAACATTATTGATTAAAACATAAAAGTTATCAATTTAATACAAAATATTTGATGACATCTAATTTCAAAGAATAAAATAGAGCCACCACCTATATGACAATATAATGTTTTCGTAATCTCAAGAAGCTAAGGGATACCACTATGCTGACCAACAGACACCATAACTTACTCCAAAGATCCTTAGGGTGAAAAAAAAAAAAAAAAAGGATATGGTACTACTACAGGAATGGCTAAAAAAAAAAGTGGAAGGTTCTACATTTTTCCCAAGTAACTAAAATACCACTAGGTATAACAAAGTAACACTAAGTATAAATACCACTTTTGCCCGATGGATGTTTGTCAAGAGAACAAGTAAAACAAAGTGAATTTGATTTCAACAGTTTAAGCAGATAAGTAAAAAAAATTAACTTAATGTCAAGAATGCATATCCAAGCTAACAAATAAATTACTGAACTAGTGTGCCAGCAAACATATTCCAACATGGCTGATATTTAAGGACAAGTTTGTGATATAATACACCTGTAACTTATTGAACATTCAACTCTTGAAGCCTTGAGAATAGCAATAAAATAAGGAAATCCAGAAGCACAACAATATATTAAAAGGTACCTACAGTAAAGGAGGAAAAATATGAAGTCAGGAAGAGATCTGAGGACAGGATGCCAAAAAGGAATGCCTAAATACAAGACTAGCACTACACTGATTTGGAATCCTACTGTTCCTAAAAGTATGACCAAAAAGTATAGGTACAGAATGAATTAAGAATACAGTAGGGACTGACATATTAAAAAACTCAACTGATATATATACAGGTCTTGTCTGAGGAAAAATTCAAATATTTAAAGTCCCTACTGCAAAATTCAAATGACAAAGTATACCAGTGTATTACCTTTCTTTCGAAAGAGTGCATTTAGATAATTTTCTGCTTGGCATTCAATCTTATCAGTGTTGGACTGGCCCTGAGATGATAGCTCCTCTGTTGGTGTTGACTGTGAAGAATCAAGAGATGGTATACAATCCTAAAAGTATAAAAAAGCAACATACCAAATCACTTTTTATTTAAACATAAAATTTCTTAAAAATCGCAAAAATTAATTTTCTAAATTAATCAATTCTCTAAATTGTCATTTTTCTACCTTTTAAATTATACCAAATTATATCAAATGAGCATAAAATTTTGGACAAGAGTCAAGAAAAAAAGAAATTAAGCTCTGAAAGAAGGCCCAAATGTTCTGATTCTTAGCAAAATGACAGTTAAAAAAAAAAAAAGGAAGAGCAACTGAAATATAAACTCTATGAGTGAACAAATTCACTATACAGTATGCTAGTATTGTAATCCTATCAGAGTTTTAACAACAAAGCAGATGTTTATCCATGAATCTGAACAAAATCAGTACAGATTCTCAAGTTCTCATTTCTTCTCATGACAGTGGATAAGAAATCAGGGTATCCTACCATACAAGATTCTGGTTGTAGAGTTTATATCCTGTATCCAGTAGGTATTTATTATATTTCATCATTTACACAGGAAATATTTATGAAAGCTAAAAGATGTCAAGAGTAAGTGAAAGGCTAAAAAGTAGTAGCACATCATCTCCTTACTAGAGATTCCTAAGATATCAGACTGTAGGGTAGACTCAGCCCAAGCTAGGCCTCCAATCTTACCCTGTATACCTAAATAACAAAATGACCTCAAGTAAATTCACAAGGGAATATGAAATAAGCAAAAAAGAATTCTAGGGGTTTTCGTCTGCAAATTAAACTAAACTAAATGTTGGACTTCCAGTATAAACTTTGATATATTCTTTTCATTTAGCAAAATCAAGTATTTAAACTTTCACTGCGAGTCACAAATTTTCAGGACAAATTAAGTTAAAAAGAGAATTCTGTTACCATTGTGTAATTAGTTTAAAAATAATTTCACGGCACTAAAACTTACACTGACTGCTTCTCTCTGTAGGTTACAAAATGAACATTTTTCATCCATAGACCAGTCAGTCAGCTCTTCTGGTTCACAGTCTTTAAAAGAGGGAAAAATATTCATTAAATACACTAACTTTATTATAATCAATAAAAATTCCCACAGCAATTGCAAAAGGAAAAAAAACACTAACTACTAACAGTAAGGGGTGGAGCCTAACTTCAAATTAAGCTAATGACATCTAGAAAGAAAAAAAAGAGAGAAGGGTACAAGGAGAGTACTGTAATTTTGCACTACTATGAGACAATGAGCTGGTTATAATTCAACAATTTTCCAACAACAGGGCTGTAAAGTATCACCTAACTTTCTGGAATACTGAATTTATCATCTGTTCAGTTATTTTATTTTGATTTCACAATGAAGGAAATCAGAACAAAGAAGGTGATATAGGGAGGAAAGGAATAAATTTTGTACATCATGAAAGACAACATAAAACAGAAAAGTGAAAAAACACCAGGCAAGCTCCACAGATTTGACAAAATAGAACAACATCTATAAAATAAAGTAGTAATTCATAGATCAAAAATCAGATCAGATTTTTATTACATTTGCAAAAACTATTTATTACAAGAGTTAAGAGTAAAAATCTGGTAAACAAATAAGATATATTATTCAGTACAAGGCATGGATTTTTTTAGAAGACGATTCCTTATAATCCAACTGTTGTATTAGAAAGCTTCTGGAAAACAAAAGCATTTTCTATTAAAATAAATTTTATGAACGTATAACAACACTGTCATTCTAACTAAACTTGGTAGACACTGCTTTTCAAATTACCCCTCCAGCAAAATGATGATGCAATATTTTCCCACATAAATTCAAATTCAGAACCTCAAATACCACAAAATCATTATGATCTGAGGCAGTTACACTTTGACTGATTTGAAAAACACTGGCATGCCACAAAAATTTTTTTCATGTTTCTGAAATACACAGTGCACTTGAATACATTTCTCTGCTAAACTTCATTTTGGAAGATAGTGAAGAAAAACTACTAATTAGGACTCCCCTGCATTAATCCAAATACAGAGAATAGGTCATTTGTTGGTAGTGTAACAAGTGTAGTACCATCTCCATTTAGCAATGGTATACAAATATTAATGATATTTACGTTAATCTGGAAAGGGCAGAAGAGGGAACAGATCCAGGACAGGTTAATGGAAAGAGAACCAGATCTGAAGTCTTTGAAAATCTGGAACAGAAACACACTTCTATGCAGTTGAAACAATTTTTAAGCCACAATAGTTTTTGTTTTAATAGCCTTATGTGTAAAATGAGGGCCACATCACATAACTTATTGTACATCTAATGAAAAAATATGAAAATATGTTATAAACTACAAAATATAGTGTAGCTGAGCATGGTGGCCTGTGTCTGTAATCCCAGCACTCTGGGAGGCTGAGGCAGGAGGATCAAAGTTTGACCCCAGCTTGACCAACTTAGCAACTTATCAAGATGCTGTCTCAAAGTAAAATATATAAAAGGGCTGAGAATATAGGCCAACAGAAAAGCTTTTGATTCAATCTCCAGTACCATAAAACCAAACCAGACCATAATGCATAGGCTAGGTATTAACAAGGTAGAATTACCAGTCATTATTTTTTAACCCTGTATTTGTACATGTTTTTAATAAGATTAATTTGCAGAAGATATAATTTTAATGGAATATCTGCTCATAAGAATTGGTAACTTTCCTATAAACAACTTCACAAATCAAATTTTAAGTAATCTATACAATTAAAAAACAAGTCCTTCTAGAACTGTACCTCTGTGGGTATATGTTGTTTTGAACCTTTTATACCCTTGATGGAATAGAATCACACATACAGATTCTTGGAATACAGGAACTTGGAATGCAGGAAGTGTCTATTACTAGAAAAGTGAAGCTCTCTGACCAATGGAAGGAATGAAAGAGAAGTGATAGTGTACCATACAAGCTGAGGCTTTAACAGGAAGGGCATATTTCCCCCAATTCTCTTTTTCTTCCACCACTTAACATGAGAACTTGTTCCAGATAGCCAGGACTCCTTCAGTCTGGAACCTATAATCACGTGGGGAAGATATGAACCCTATCCATAGTCTAAAGATCAGCTGACTATGATCACCAGTAAGTATGACACAGATTTTAGAGTTCTTATGCACCAATGTAGCAAAAACATGACTCATATGCCAAGACAATTTTGATAGGTTAAGAAAATCTTACTGTTTTTTTAAAATCATGGCCTAGTGAAAGAAACACAGAGTTGAAATTTTTGAAAAATACCTGGCAGATGTGAGGAAGGGATGTTTTAAAATTTTGTTGTAAAGTTTAGTTATGTTTCAGTGATAAGTATGTTGACACACAGGACAGCAATTTTAGATCAATTAAGATAATTACTAGTTAAAAGATAAAGATCAAGGGACACTGAGATTATGTCACTTAGTAATTTCAGTAAAAGTTCTTCAACAGAACATAAAATAAATACCTACATAAATAAATGGCACTGAATAATCAACTGAATAGAGGCTGTTAAATTCTATTCAGTTAAAAAAATGTATAGCTTTACTTACAAATATTTAATAAATACATTACTCCTTCTACAGAAATTTTTGCTTTTTAAGTCCAAATAAATGATGGCAGGACACTTTTTTCCTATATGGGAAATTAGATTTTGAAAAACCGATAGACCAGATTTCTCCTCTTTTCAAATTATCTTTGCATGTAATTAAAAATATACATTTTAGTTCGCAAAAAAAGTGACAATGAATCAAGTATTTATCTCTAAAACAAGTTATCTTTCTTTTAAAAAAATGTTAATGCATGTCATTATGTATAAGCTCAAAAAGGGTTAAATAATGTACCTAGAAATAGCCTAATAAAAAGACAATGCCATAATGAAAGCTGATTGTAGATGACTGACAAAGGTCAATCTTTCCATCATAGCTATACACTCTTGTAGTTAAAACATGGCTCCAATCAAAGTTATGTAATCTAACTCAAAGTTAACAGACTAAAATCTAAGAATCTTGGTACTGAAGCATGGGCTTTTCTACATACTATATGTGGCCTCAGGAATTTCCTTGGTTTCATTATCCTCATTTGTAAAATGAGGATAATAACTGCATCTTAAACTGTAGTAAAATTAAATAAAAATGTATAAACACTTAATTCCAAAAGGTATCCTTTGCATTTTTCTTCTAAATAATCTGTTTTGGAATTTTTTTTTAGTATCCTTTATGCATAGGCCATAAATTTACAGTTTTCAAGGATAATTCCAATGAAAGATGAAAAAGAATATTAAGCTAGATTCTTCATGAAGATCATGGAATACTGGTAGTAAGTATGTTGATTTGGGAGAAAGATGTTCAACAATAGACAATGTAATTCAAAATAATTTTTCACATTAACTATATTGAAAACATATTAACTATATTGAAAAGGAAAAAGGGAAAAGCTATTCACAATCTCATCATCCAGAGATAATGACTAGTGTCTGTTATATATCCTCCTTATATTCTAGCCCTTTTATTAAAAAATAAGATGTTTGGAAACATAAGTAAAACTGATAAATATTTGGCCAGGCTTAATTAGGAAAAAAAGAAAAGAAAAAACACAAAATGATCCTGTGGACATTAAAAGTTATTCTTTTTTATTGTGAATAATTGTGTCCATAAATTTGATAACTTTATGTAAAATGGACCACTTCCTCACACGACATAAGCTACCAAATCTCACAAAAGGAAAGAGATAAATAGGACTTAAAAAAAAGAAAAGAAAAAATATCTTCCGAAAAAGAGATTTTATTTAAATTAGAATCTGCAAAAAAAAAAAAAATGTATACACTCTTCAGCAGTTTGTAGTACTAATTAAATGTCTGGAGGTGAATGGCCACCACTTTGTAAGTGCACCTCTTGTAACTGTAGAGGCCAAAGGTAACATCTTAATCTTATGATGTCTCATAAACTTATCATTAAAATATTAATGAAAGTTTTTCTTTCCTTGATGTATAGATTTTTTGACAGAATCTGTATTTCAAAAAACAGAAACAGGCAAAAAAAAAAAACCAAACCAGGTACAAGCACCCAATGATAAATGTAAATGTATTATATACCTAAAATGTACCAATAAAAGAATTTAAGCAAAAAAACCCCCAACAAAACAAAACAGAAACAGAATGCCTTACTCATTCTGATTACATCATTATCCAAAATACCAAAATCTGCCTGACCAGACATCTCACCCAAGAAGATATACAGATTGCAAATATATATATGTGAAAAGATGCACAATGTCAAATGTCATTAGGGAATTACAAATTAAGATAATGAAATGCCACTACATAACTAAGGGGATGATTAAAATCCAAAACATTAACATCATCAAATGATGGTGAGGACATGGAGCAACAGGAGCTTTCCTTCACTGCTGAAATGCAAACTGGTACAGCTACTTTTGAACACAGTCTGGCAGTTTCTAACAAACCTAATCTTTCTATATGTTCCAGCAATGGTGTTCACAGATGTTAATGCAAATAAGTTGAAAACTTTTGTCTACCCAAAAACTTTTATATGAATATTTATAGAAACTTCATTCATAATTGTCAAAACTTGCAAGTGACCAAGGTTACCTTTCGGTAGATGAATGGGTAGGCAAACTGGTATATCTACACAAGGTAAGTATTTTCAGCAATAAAAAGTGTTACTGAGCTGTAAAAAGACAAAAACTATTAAGTGTATATTACTAAGTAAAAGAAGTAAATCTGAAAATGTTAAATACTGTATGATTCCAACTATATGACTTCTAGAAGAGGTAAAACTTCAGAAACAGTAAAAGATCCGGCGTTTTCCAAGGATGAGGGAAAAGGGAAGGAGTGAATAGGTAAAGTATAGATTTTTAGGGCAATAATGCCATTGTGTATGATGCTGTAATGGTGGATATATGACACTGTGCATTTGGAAAAATTCAAACTACAAAATATACAACAAATGAATCTAATGTAAACTAGAGACTTTCATTATAAAAATACATAAATATTGGTTCAGAAAAAGACATTAATAC